GAACTTTTGTTGAATTTTTCGCTAAAAACTCTTTCACTATAATGGCTGTGTGTGATGGTGCCTTATCATGGTGCAGCATCCATGAGTTGTGTTGCCACAAATCTGGACGTTTTCGGCGGATACTCTCACGCAAACGCTTCATGACGCCTAAATAACATTCTTTATTCACTGTTTCTCCCTTTGGAAGGAATTCGGAGTGAACCACACCACGGTAGTCAAAAAAAACTGTCAGCATCACCTTGATTTTGGAGCGATTTTGCCGCGGTTTTTTGGGTTTCGGCTCGTTTTCGAGACGCCATTCTGAAGACTGTTGGCTTGTTTGCATGTCGTACTCATAAACCCATGTCTCGTCGCCAGTTATTATACGTTTCATAAAGGTCGGATCCGTAGAAGCTCGGGAAACCATGTCTTCAGCGACATGCTTTCGCTGCGCTCTTTGAACAAAATTGAGCTCTTTTGGAACTAGTCGAGCGGCGACGCGTTTCATGCCTAAAATGTCAATGAGAATGTTGTGGACGGACTTAAAAGATATGTTCACCTCACTAGCCAACTCTCTCAGACTCATACGTCGATTTTCGAGCACTAGCTTCTTGATTTTGTCGATGTTTTCTTTGGTCGTAGCGGTTGAAGGTCTACCAGAACGAGGCAAGTCTACTACTACTTCTCGGCCTTCTTTAAAAGCCTTATACCATTCATAAGCCCTTGTTTTCAATATACACGATTCGCCGTAGGTATTTCGCAACATTTTTAGTGATTCACCACATGAAATATCATTCGAAACACAAAATTTAAGGCACACTCTTTGTTCAACAATATTTTCCATTGTAAAAATCGCCGAGAACTCAAAACTATGACCAACAAAAAGTGTAGTTTAAAACAAACTAAATGACAGATCCCGCTCAAACTTTGCGCGCTAAATCAGTACAGTGCTACCAACATGCAGTAAAAAATTAGAACGACCTCTTTTACGCGGGTCTTTTTATTGACATATTCCCGATACTTTTTACACAGATTTGTATTATACGCAGATTTACGGACGTATCCCGATAAATTCTTTGAATACACGAGATTGTTATTACACACTTTTGACTACATATTAAATAAGATCTCACCATGTTTAGTCAAGATTGACACCAATTTTAGAAAAAGTATAAAACCTGAAGAGAAACTGCTTATAACAATAAGGTAAGTGCATGTTTCCATATCGAAACAACATTTGTTTTAATCAATAATATTCATTTATTTATTCTTAATTAAAATCTATAAATCAGTCGAAAATTACGTTTATAGAGTAGTTAATTAATTCCTGTCTATCCATATTGTGATAAGGGTTGAAATCCACGTTGCCTTGGGTATTAAAGCCATATGAGTTATATCGTCTTTCGTACTCCATTTTTTCTGTCTCTGCCATTAATAATTGCATAATTTTGTTCTTTACTCGTAGTTTTTGTAATGGCGGAAATGCTCTCATTTGTGGAATGAGACTTTTAAAGAAATAATAATCTTCACACTTCTCTTCACCATCATTTGAAGATGTGGTTGCTTGTGAAAGTTTCATTTGAAGTAACTCAATTTTTTTATTTTCGAGTTAAATAAATTGCTCTCTGTAATCAGAAGCACACTTGCGCTTTTTGCTTCCTGAACTCGATTGAGATACTGTATCAGTGACATCAGTTGTTACACTAGAGTTATCTGTATCGGCATGGTCTTGTGAAATGTTGTGTTACTGCATCCAAATTTCCGGAAGATTGTTCAGCAGTTAAATCATCTTTAATAAATAACATTTGTTGAAAATAAGGCGAAGTGAATTGTAGCTGGATCACTTGAGCGTGCTGGTGGAAACTTCTTTAGTTCTTTACGAAAATGGTCCCTTAAATTTTTCCATTTCTTTCGCAGCTGTTTATCTGAAAATAATTTGTGTTTAATACTTTGTTACAGATATTTGTCTACTGGCATGTCTTTTACAGCATTGTCACACAGTTTTAGAATGAGTGTAAGTACCATTTCAACTTTAGTCCATGAAACATGTATGGCAATATGGAATGAGTTAGTAGGTATTCACATGCCTCCTCCTACGGAACTACAATTTAAAATGGTAGCGGAAGATTATTATAGACTTTGGAATTTTCCTGATTGCATAGGCAGTCTAGATGGAAAGCACTGTCGAATTAAAAAACAAAAAAATAGTGGATCTCTTGATTTTAATTATAAAAATTTTTATTCGATAGTACTTCAAGCAGTAGCCGATGCGAAAAGGAAATTTATTGCAATTGAAGTGGGTGGACAAGGAAAACAAAGCGATGGTGGTACTTTTCATACTTCTGCTTTGCGCCATTTAATAGAGGAAAATAAATTCAACATTCCAATACCAGAAAAGTTACAACATTCTAACATTATTGCCCCTTACGTGCTCGTAGCTGATGAAGCGTATTCATTAAAAAATATTTGTAAGACCCTTTCCACGTAGCACATTGAACGTGCAAAGAAGACTATTTAACAGAAGATTATCTACAGCGCGGCAAACAATTGAATGTTTCTACGGTATTCTAAGCACGAAATGGAGGATATTACAAAAATCTATTGAAACCAGTCGAGAGAACGCTTGCTTGATTATTAAAACAAAATTTTTGTTACATAATATTATACTAGACTTAGATGGTGACGCTGATCCAGATTGTCATACCTGGGCTACAGCCGAATTCAACCACAATAAGGCCCTGTCCGCACTGCGATATTTCACCGCGCGATTTTTATTCTCGCGTATTATATTCCGTGATCGGAATTACACTTATTACGCACTGCGAATAAAATTTCGTACGATTTTTGTCAGTTCGATGCAGTTCCCGATTGAGACGAACGTCTAAAATGAATAAAAGAAAATTTTTAATTTACCTGATTCTACGGCGGCGGCGGCGTGACAAACCTATCGTAAGATGTCATGAACATTGGATTCACCCATTTACGGCCTTGAGACCTATGAAAGGATTTTTCTACATAAAATATCAAGAGCTGCGAGAATATAATAAAAAGTTTTTCGGATATTACAGAATGACTACAAAATCATTCGATAATTTACTACGACTAGTTGGTCGGGCTGTTACCTATCAAGATACGAATTGGAGAAAAGCAATTTCAGCTGAAGAGGGACTCTCGATAACTCTAAGGTAAGATGTTCCTTTCTTATAGGTACTAGGTACAGCCTGCACAGCAGTGTAAGCTAAAATATATCTAAGCATTTTATAAAAGTCAATCTTATTAAAAGAAAGCACCTTTCTTTTGATTGTTTCTTCGAAACAATTGAAAGTGCACCCTAATTTCTTTGAGCTCAGTTTGATTTTTATCAAATGCTTAGATGTATTTAATGCATCTCTGTCATTTTGGTGCTGATAATACCATTTATTTTAAATTTTCACGTTCTCTTAATTTATCCCCCTCCAGCCCCCCCCCTCCCATTTGATATTGTAACATTCCAAAGTATATTTAATAACTGACGGAGGTAAATAAAAACAAGGTTTAATCATACAGCATCATTTATTTATAAGCAATGTAACTTTTATTTAAATAAAATATAATCTTTCATGTCAAAACCACTCCCCTCTACTACGAATGTAGAATGATTAAATGAAGTATTTGGAAAATTTGACAGCGAGTATTGGGATTGAGGAGACGGATCAGGCGGAGATTGAGGAATGACAGTTGAAATACGAGATGGTGTGTATTGGGTTTGAGGAGACGGATCAGGTGGAGATTAAGGAATGACAGTTGAATTACGAGATGGTGTGTATTGGGTTTGAGAAGACGGATCAGGCGGAGATTGAGGAATGACAGTTGAATTACGAGATGGTGTGTATTGGGTTTGAGGAGACGGATCAGGCGGAGTTTGAGGAATGACAGTTGGATTACGAGATGGTGTGTATTGGGTTTGAGGAGACGGATCAGGTGGAGATTGGGGAATGACAGTTGAATTACGAGATGGTGTGTATTGTGTTTGAGGAGACGGATCAGGCGGAGATTGAGGAAAAGATGGTGGGTATTGGTAAATTTGGGGAGAAGGAGATTGACGGATAGTATTTGGGTAGGGTGATGGCGTATTTGGGTTGTAAGATGAATACGATGATGATGATGATTGATATTGAGACATAGCGGATCTGACTCTAGGCGGTATAAAATTTTGTGGTGAATATTTAGTTGCTCTGTTAAGTGCATTCAGAATTTCAATTTTAGCGTAATGTTTCTGGTCTGTTGAGAGATTCTTGAGCATTGGTATGATCATTTCACAAAATGAAACATCCTCATCATAAGTTTTATCCTGCAATAATTTCAATAACTCATCATCGCTATTATTCTGAATTTTAGTCTTTTTACGCATGCTCGTTTTAAATCTTCTATTTCGTGAAGCTTCTGTGTCAGTATCTTCGTCGGATTGATTTGTAAGGTCTTCGGCATTACTATTAGTGCTTTCTGTGTCTTTAATATTATTTGTCGTATCTCTCATTGATTTTTGAGTGGCTAAAAATGAAAGTGCTCCCATGTGTATGTATGGTCTTTTTTTTTTCTTTGTGGCTTGAACCGAAACTACCTTTTTATCAGCTGCCACCTCCTTGAAGTATGTATCTTTAAGATTTTTCCATTTTTTTTGCACATCAGCTCCTGTAAAAGAAAATAAAATAAGGTAATTGTTGTGTAGATAAATAATAAACTATAATTTGTTTGAATTTTATATTATTGGTGTTACATATTTTTTTGTAATTATTGCAGGTACTTGGCTTCAGGAAATAGCTACTATTCGCTATATTACGAATATCTAATTGGTATCTCTACAATTGGTGAAATTATAGAAGACACGTGTGAAAGACTATGGTCTTGTTTACAATGTTTATACATGCCAGAACCAGATGAAAGAACTTGGTCCCATACTGCCGAACTTTTCTATAAAAGAACACATTTTCCACATTGCTTGGGAGCGGTGGATGGAAAGCATATAAGGTGCGAAAAGCCTAATGGCGCGGGTTCTGAATTTTATAATTATAAAACAATATCATTCCTTAGTTTTAATGGCGGTGGCTGATGCAAATTATTATTTCATCAGTGTTGACATAGGTGCTTACGGCAGCAGTAGTGACACTACCGTTTTTAAAAATTCTGCATTTGGAAAGAAGCTTGAAGGTGGTCAGTTAATACTTCCATCACCAACTTACCTACCAAAAGATGAAAATGGGGAAAACATGCCTTATGTTTTTGTTGGAGATGAAGCGTTCGCTCTCTCAGAACACATAATGCGACCATACCCCAGAAGAAACCTATCTGTAACTCAAAGAGTTTTTAATTACAGACTCACACTAGCAAGAAGATTTGTAGAATGCACTTTTGGCATACTTACTAATAAATGGAGAATTTTACATCGGGCTTTAGATGTAAAACTAACAACTTGTGACCAAATAATTAAAGCATGTTGCATTTTACATAATTACGTACGCAAACATGATGGAATTCGGTTTAAGGACAAATTGTATGGGACCGAGTTACAAAGTTTGCGCCATACTCCTGTGAGATCTAGAATATCCAGCATTGAAAATAGACAATATTTTGCAGAATATTTTGATTCACCGAAAGGGTCAATTCCATGGCAATATGAAAAAATATAAAATATAAACGTCTACCCGTATTATAGGTATATATTCTATATAAAACTACAGACCAACAAAAAATCTTTGATTATATACATGTCTAGATGGACACATTGACCGTACCGAACGGCTCGAAAAAAGTCTACTATAATTATTGGTAGACTCGCTTCTCACCTACGGCAGTGTCATTTGAGTCACCTATGGATAATAAGCTCACGAAAAATAATTAATTATGCCGGTTTGTGCTATCAAATTGTATCGCAATTACGTGGGAAGTAAAGAAGTAAATTATATTATTTAACTACTTTATTTTAAGAAAACACAGTTTTTTAATTCGTTACTGTTTAGGTTAGTCTGATTAGCTTGTGTTGCCAGTTTAATATTAGGGAAACAGCGAAACTATGGGAGACACATTATAAATATCATTACATCTTTTTGTAAGTTTTAAACATTTTGTTAATGAATAAAAATATTTTATTTTAATATTTATTTATTTATCTTTGTAAATCATAAAAAGATGCAGTAGTACTTATAAGATTTTGCTTGTTTAAAAAAATTAAAAGAAAAATATTTGTAATTATGTTTATATTTTTTGTTTTTACTAAATTAAATAAAACACTAATCTACGAAATAGTTACTTTATTTAACCTATTTTGTTTAAACTACACCTTATTAAATAATGGGGAGAAGTTAAGTTAATAATTTGGAGCAAGTATCCGCACATCTTGACAGTTTGACTACAATAAGTACACGAGCGGTACTCACACATATCACGTAATTCGGGCCGGTTTTTGCGCGAAGTTTGTTTGCATTGCTCAATCTAGACATGTAGGTATATAATCAAAGGTTATAAATAAAAATATTTAATTTGTAAACGTCTATAAATTAAAAAAAATACTTTATATTTACCTTTTTGTTTTTTTTTTCAACAACACTGCATTGTTCCCAACTAAAATATATGTCTTGATATACTTCCTCCCACAATCTCGCCTTCAATATTCTGTCGTGGTACTTTGGATTAAATTTGTCCCACAGGGGAGGTCTCCTGTGCATCAACGTGATTAATTGCTCAATATCAATGTCGTCATTTTCTAACTCCTCTGCGGCTCCCGATCGGGCGTGAGACGAAGCGCGCGACATCCTGTCAATAGCGCCAGTACACGACTGAGCGAAACGCGCGGATTTTATTTCGCAGTGCGGCCATAGCCATAACTACTATATACTGCACAAAATATTCGCGCGGAAATAAATCGCACCGCTTCGCGTTCAATTTGCATCAAATCACAGATTTATTTCCCGCGCGATTTTTTTGCCGCCAGTGCGGTTACTCCTATAAGATTCTATGTGTTACAGAATTGCGAGAAAGAAATCGCGCGGTGAAATATCGCAGTGCGGACAGGGCCTAACATGCAAAATGTAATGCGTAACTCGGATAGAAATCCTACAAGACAAGCAAAAATAATTCGTGACAAGTTTATGAATTACTTTTATGAACATACCTATTAATTTTTCAGTTTAAACATATTTAATGTTGATAGGTAGATTAATTTGTTGTTTGTTAGTACCTACCTATACATTAAACTAGCACGTACATATCTACCTACTCTAAAGTTATAGATAGTTATAATCTGTAATTTTAACAATTATATAAAAATAAACTAACCGTTACTTCCAGGAAACAATTGTTTTATTTCTTCCCATAATTTGTTTATGGCCATCCTATTTAAATGTTGCAGATATTTGCTCTGCCAAATAGCAGTGCGATGTTGTACTGCAGATATAAATTCTTCAGTATTGATATCCATGATTGACGATGCTTCGGCGGGTGAATCAAAACGGCTTAGAACCACAAGCGTAGTCACCTAACAGACGCTAATTCACTGTGAACGATGCGAGCGGACTGAGCTATTACAAACACCCGCGCTGCCCGCGCCCGCACCCACCTCATGTAGACGCGCGACGCGCGGGAGCACTCTGAATGCAACTGGCGTCTACACACATTTTGATTTAAACGCGCCCGCGCTAGCACCCGCGCCCGCCTCCACTCTGAAAGAGTACTTACAAATCGCTTCCATTTTTTAAAATAATGCCACACTGATGATTTTTATTTTGTTGTTTCATTGTTATCATTCATACTTTAAACAAACAAGTACATTTAAATCACCTTTTATGTTATGCACTACTTATACGAAGTAACAAAAAATAAACAACAATGATATCACAATCACGATATTACACTCGGCGTCAAAAAAATCGCACATCCGAAAAAAATAATTTAAATACTATTTTAACACAACAGGCCACAGTTACAGTAAGTTGATTTTTAACTGAGTTTTCAGTGGCTTAACAAGGTAATTTATATTTCAATGTACATTTTCGTCGAGACTTAGTATATCTTCTTTTGAGTATACCAAATGGATCTGATGATCTCCTTGATTCCAGAAAGCTTTAAAATAACAAAAGAAGAACATAAGATACGATTTTATTTTGCAATACCTACATAAACAATTGTAAGAAAATATTACGATAGCAATGATACATATTTTATCGACGTAACTAATCTTAACTTACATATAGACTAACGTACACATATATTCAAACCACGTAGAAAATCGAATGTTTTACATAATATAAAATTATTAATTTAATAAGCGACGTTAAATATGGTTTGTATAACATACAATACTTTTTTCCTACAAAAAAGCAGCGTAGATAATTCTATGTGTTACTTACTATAGTTTTGACCTACTAGAAACAAAAATGAGGCAAATTTTGACAACTTCATGAAAAATAATACTTACGTATCGAAAGTACTTACCTAGTGCTATATCAGTTTCTTTCAAATTACCATTAAGGTAGAGTTTTCCTTCATTATCAGATAGAAAATTGGATACAATATTTCCTGATCTTGCCGATTAACACGCTATAGCGCATAGCTTGCGAGCTCTTGAATGTAATTAGAAGTAATTATTTGAAGATAGTTTACTCATTACTTTAGAATCTCACTTTAAATCTGTAATCAACTAAATAATAATTTACGCGGCAATCGCGGACGTACGCACACTCTCCGCGTACCAAACCGTATTTAATCGTTACCATAGCACCGCTACTCTGCCTCTGCGCGCCTTTACCCCGTAAATGATTGTTTAGGACAATACGACAGTATACTATGCTTGCTTTTATTACATACGGTTGTATACGCGAAAAAAGTCTTTGTTTTTTAAAGATATTTAAATTTTTATTAGAAGGGTAGATAGAACATAAATATTTAATTTCAAATCACTTAAAACATAAAAATCGCCAATTTGTGGGTTACCATAGTATACGTAGGAGCCATCGACTTGAAACTCACTAAAAACCACCGCTCGAAGGACCAGATGTCGGGGGTGTGTCTGGTTGTTTGTTAAGAATGTTGAATGGATAACTTCCGAAATAGTAAAAAATCAGTTTATTTAAAACAGTTACAAAAATGTTAATAAATTGTTGTGAATGCACCCGACACTGTTGCGTAACGAAAGTGCACTAAACACATTGGCGCCATGGCGCCGATTGCTGACAAAGGTGTTCGGTTTCACCGAACAATTGCCTTTCATATCCACGTTTTAGTTTTTTAATAAGGTTATTGCAGAAATTGCGGTATCTTCTGTAGGTGACTCTAAGAATCTCATCGTGGGGACTTTTTCGAAGTTTGTACTGCATTCGGTCCCTGTTTCTAATATACATCGTAGAATCCCTGGGGTTATCCAGGGTTTTATAATGCGTGTATTTCTGGGAATGTATACATCCCTCGTGTTGTCATTAAGTGCCGTACAAATCTTGTCAACTAGTTCTTTAGTTAACAGATCAGGATCATCACAAGATAATAAAGCTGTAAGGTTCATGGCTCTGAGACCATTCAATGCTTTATCATAATCTGTCCGCGTTCTGATTTTCTGACACTCATTTCTGAAACTATTACCAGTAAGGTGTAATAGAAGTTGAGTAAGATGGCATACATTGTCTCCACTCAGGAACTAAGTCACGTGAGTCTTGGTGGCTCCGCTTTTTGGCCAAAGGTTCATCATCACTGTCTTCCCATTCAGAAGAGACATGACGTCGACGCATTACCTCCACCATTCCTGGTACTTCTCTAGATAAATCCGATGGCTGCAAGTCATCTTCGCGTTCTTCTTCGTCAGTAACAATAGCTGGATCTGGTGGTAAAATCACCACATCAGATTCTTGCTCGCTCTTTTATTGCGCTATAGCATTGACAGCTTCTTCTTGGCCAATAAATTTTTCACAAGCTCGAAACACTGAAAACATTTTATCATGTAAGATCTGCATAAAAGAGAAAAACAATATTATATCACGTGTGCCCATTGTACTAAAAATTTATTTATTAATATTATTTTGATGATTATTTATTCATATGGTATGAAATTGTGACAAAAACATAATAAATACACGAAAAAATAAAAATAAAAGCACTTACTTCTTAACGAAAATTAATGTATCTGATAAATGTCAAAAAATGGCGACAATGTCATAGTCAATAATTTTTTTTTCAATTAATATTGTTAATAGTGACATCTGTCAGTAATTATGTAGATTAATTCATCAATAGATAGATAAAGTGATATTTTTGAAATTAGGATTTGAAGAGGTGTCGTTTATTTGGTACAGAGGGCGCAAATGGGTTAAGTGACAGAGCCGTACGAGTAAGTTGTGACGGTGGGTCACGAAATTGATCTGCAACTGTACTGTGGGGCACAACAGCGTCGGAATCGGCGCCTATCTGCCTAAACACCGCGGAGCTCGTCGTGGAGGCCCGTTGCGTGGCGGGGGCGGAGTTCTTGGGAGGCGTGCGCCTGAGAGACATTGTTGATTGACAGGTACCAGGCGCGCAGAACTCCGGCGAAGTAGTATGAAGCGTGCGCAGCTTCGTAGCAGTATCTAGGAGCAGACTCGTAGCACGGTTCGTAGCACGCTACGACACTTTATATGGTTGCTACGGCACAGTGTGTTGGACCGTATTG